TCTGCTATGAACCTGAAACTGCTCTAAGAAATAAAGTCTGTTAATTTAAAAAAAAATGATGCTTCCACAATCCATGCACCTTGGGCGAATTAATCACATCTCAGTTCCTCATCTACCCTCTGGAGATAACAGTACCTACCTCACATGGTAGCTGTGGGGTAAATGAGATAAAGCATAGGGACTGACATCCAGCAAGTACTGGAATGATGTCCATGATACCCTGTTGGAGGAGTAGGGGAGAACTGTACAAACTGTATAGCATACATCTATTTTAGTTAAAATAGTACATATATTTTAGAGCACACTGTGCATGTATGAGTGTGGTGGTGAGAGGAAAGGAGAGAGTTTTAAGTCTTTCTTTGTACATCTCAATGTTGTTTGGCTTGTAGCAAAGAATATATATTGCTTTTATAGTTTGGAAGACTAATCCAATAACATTTTTTGAAAGTGGCGTGAGTGAGAGTGTTAGCAGGAGTGGGGGATACAAAAGCATAACTAAATATTGGGAAGTGAATCGAAAAGCTGAGAAGTTTGACAGGTCTGGAACGCAGTGTGCAGAATGGAGGGCAGCAGGTATGCGGCTGGGAATGGACAGAGGAAAAGTTGTGGGTTCTCGGAAAAGGAGCATGGACTTTCCTCGATATTTAAGGAAAATTCTTTGGAAGAAAGGAATGCAAGGTATTGGCTATACTCTGGCAATGATGAACTCTGCCCCTCCATCAAAAAAAAAACTTTCAGTGGCTCCCTTTTACTCTTTACAGGGATAAAGTCCAGACCTACCTAGGTCCATGAGTCTAAGAGCCAGGCTTCTCAGCCCATCTTGCCCCAACCTCACTAAACTACTTGTAGTTCTTAGAAAGCTCTGCTCTCTCCAGCTTCCAAACGTTTGCTCAGGCTGTAGCTTCTGCCAGCAGTGCCCTTCCCCCATGCCTTTCCTTGTTCTGCTTGGGTAACTCCTCAGAGCTCAGCTCAAACATCCCATCTCCTAGGAGGTTCACCTTGATCCCCCAAGGCTTAGTTTCCCTTCTAGGTCCTCCTATATCATCCCGACATTAACCTAAAAAGAGCACTTTTGACACTGGTTTGTAATTGTCAATTTATGGTCTGCCTCTTCACTAAACTACACATCCCGTAAGGGCTGGTGCTTAATAGTATTTCTTGTTGAGTCTTCAGTACCTAGCACAGAATATAAGACAAAGTCAGAAATCCATAATGAATGTTAAATAAATGAATGTCTTGAAACACACAAGCCATCTAACTCTTTCACTTTTCTTGTATTCTATGTTTTCCCAAAATGTTTCTAATTTAATTCCCTGTCCTATGTATGATTTTCTGCCCATAACAGATCATATCACTGCAAGTCTGGGTCCATGTGACAGTTATATTGTTCACTGAAAACTAACAAACTGGCAAAGGGATTTTATATGTCAATCTTATACTTTAGTTAATACAAGTTCTGCACTGGAGGGGAAAAAAAAAACCCTCTATGTGCTGGCAAAAGCCAACATTTACATTTTAAACAAAGGGCTACAACTCTGAACTAAGGTAAATTTCTAAGGTAAAGGTCTCTTGGGAGGCCTTTCCTGACTATATCTGGACCTTGAGTCATTCTCTCATTCACCAAATATGTAATAACCCTCCACTAAATGGCAACTTTCATTCTAAATTCTGAGGATACAGCAGGGAACAAGACAGATGAACCCTACCCATCATGGAATCACATTCTACTGGGGGTTAGCAGAAGGACAGATAATAAATGTAAAATAAGGTAAGTTCTGGTAGTACTAAAAACTGTGAAGAAAATTAAGCAGGACAGAGAATAATTAAAGTTAGGGGGAAAAAGTGAAAGCTCTTTGGAGGTGTGGTCAGGATATGACTTCTCTGAGGGATGGACATTTGAGCTGTGACCTAAGTAATGAGAATCAGTCAGCCATGAGAAAACCTAGGGGCAGAGAATTCCAGGCACGAAAAAGAGCAAATGCAAAATCTCTAGGTACGAATGAGCTTGAAGCATTCAAACAAAGATAGAAAATCAGGTTGGCTGGAGCATAATGAAAAAAGGTGAGTGGAGAGCAATCAGAGGGTAGGTGTAGAACAGATGATAAGGAGCTTAGATTTTATTCTAATTGCAAGGGAAAGACATTATTGAGGTATAGGTAGGGAAGTGCCATCTTGTCTATAGCAACAGCTTCACCAATAAGAGTGATTGTTCTCAGCTGTCTATTCTTTTTCCTATTTTTCAGTTTGTTCACAACTTGGCAGGAAGAGGGATATGGTGTACTGAGGCCCCTGAACATTCTCAGCACTTGATAGTGCTGTGCATACTAACACAACAAATACTACTGTGAATTTTCCTATGTTCTTTAGCCATGAAATTATATTCAGTCCTTGTTTTTTCCCTAGTACTATTTTGTATATATTTCATAGATTTGTACATAGGGATGAGTGCAGTTTGTTTTCAAAATGTAATTTTCTAAAGGACGATTATTACTGGGCAATATATATAAAACATCAGAAGAGTTAAGATCAGTAGGAAAAGATTTGCTCCTTAACTTTAAACAGTTAGTTCTTCAAGACATACTATTACCAGAGTTTCACAGAAGGTGGATGAATATAATAATGGGTTGACTAAGGAAATCAGGCTTGCCATTCTGTTTCTTCCTGTGTATGTTATTTGGCTTGCTAAATTTTGATTTTAACATTCATAAAACAATGATAGAAAACATGGGCCTCATATGAGAAAAGATTATAAAGCAAAATAAAGATGTGATAACTGTAATAGAAGCTCTGGGCCGACAGATCTTTAATATTTCAAGTAAATGGCACTTTTTAAAGGGACACAAATCTTTAAGCATTTAGATCTATAGAAAATGAGCTGCTTTTTAGATTGAAAAAACAAAAACCAGGAGCTTAAAGCTTCAGTTTAATGCAGAATAAACTGCTCTTGAATCCTCTGTAATAAATTGGCATGCATAATTCAACTACTGTCATACACTAGAGGAAATTCTGACTGGCTTGGACTTTATCATGATTACTGAAAGGAAGTTCTCTAGCAGAACACAGATTTTTAGTAGCAAGTAGGTCCAGGAGTTTCTGATGAGAAGAACCAAAAGATCACAACTTGTCCCCGTAAATTTTGCAGCATAAAGTAACAGTCTAGAAGTCATGATTTCTGATAAGCGTGACTCCAAAAATAAGACTAGTCAAGAGGCTGAGCTTTCTTACCCAGTTTCTTACCATCTAGTATCTTACTTGCTGGGAAGAGGAAAAGCTGGCCCAAGAAGCTGGGAGTGTTAATAAAATCCCCTGCAACTACACCACATTCCTCACCTAATTTTATTCTCTTAATCTAGTAATCTCCAAACTAGAATAAGTCTACCCTGAGATTCTATAAGTACTTTCTAAGGGGAATACAAGCACAGATAATTGCTGAGACACCAATTCAACTTTCCGATTTCAAATCATTTTTTAAATCAATCTTTTCTCCTCTCACCCATCACAGGTCTCACTGTGGCAAACTGCTCCCATGTGCAAAAAGCCTCTAAGGCACCATACGAAGGAACAATTGTAAATATTGATGTCAATATTTAATTTAATCAAGGCGTGATAAGCAGCAGATTTCCTGACTTTCCTTATCTTAAATATGTTTCTTTTAGGAGAAAAGCATGGTGTTAGAAATTGGGTATTTTGGTCTGTGTTGTGGTGTTGTGAATTCAGATATATTGTAGAGTTGGGTAGCAGAAGTTATGATCATTTTTGCCTAATGCCATTTCCTCTTCCACTCCCTGATGCTGTCAAAGAAGACTGTTGAGACAGCAACAGGGTCCTACTTCATATGGGTAACAAACTCACAGTAAAGTTTCATGTTCCATATATCTATCTCAGAATTCAAAAATGGAAAATTTGTGAAAAACATTCTGGGAAATACCCATCAGCTGCAAGGTACACCTGCTCAGTAATGAGAAAGAACGTGATATCATCCTCGTGTGTTTCAACTGCATATTTCAAATTATTTCAAGGAAAGAGGTGTTAAAAAATTCCAAATTTCCTTCCAACAGATCAATGTTACATGTAAAAGGAACATATATCAGAGCTACGGTAAAGTTTTGTAGTGTTTTTTGAACAATTACTCAAACTCCTGGGAGAAAATATTTTCACTAATTTTTACCTAAGGATTACTGAATCCAGTAAGTCAATACTCATTTTTTTTTTACCCAAACACTTCTGCTCATTATCACCAGTTAACCATCTGTCACCTCATTAGCCATCTCTTTTACATAATAAACTTAGATTTAAATATATAATTTTCTATTGTAAAGAATGCATTTAACAACAATCATTTATTCATCTTTGTAAGCTCTGCACCTAATAATACCCCCACATGTTTTCTTATTCTGTCTTCTAGCAGAAAATTACATTCATAAACTAACTGGAGAGGGGGAACTTCATCCATTTCATTGAGACATATTTCCAATAAAATTTTAGTTCTCTATAGTAATTATTTGTAAAAATCTGTAATGCAGTTATGATCAATTATGTGTTTCTAATAATAATTATAATAATAACTCAATCCAAAAGAAATTTTTGGTACTTGAGAATCTTTTGGTCATAGAAATTTTTTTTAAATTATAAATAATTTTTTATTGCATAAAAGAAAGATTGGATAAGCAATAAAATACATTTGAGCATAAAATATATTTCTAAGACTTCTGTGGGGAAGTAGAATAAAAATACAAATTCAAAGAGAAAAAAGAATAATGTAAAATTTCTGTAAAAATGGATGATAGTGATTTTAAATTTCTATGGGATTTAATTTCATTAAGTGCATTTTTAAGTGACATGACCCTTTTTATTTTCAAATGTTCATATTTACATTATACTAGAAATTACACTTTTTTGCAATTAAGGACAAAAAATTTCACATGTAAACCTAAAAATTATTTTCTGTGGTATGTCATCAAAAATGTATAAAGATCATTGCCTCAACCCTTTCAGCTTACCCATGAGATCAACCTGGGACATGTGAATCTCCCTTGGGTAAGAAGTTAGCAGTCAGTTAGGGTAGTCCTGTTGCCATCTTCATAAGGCCACTTCAATACTGATTTCACTTCTTTTGTGGAATCTCGTGGGGCCACTGGTAAAGTGTAGGCTTTGTTTCCAGAATGTCCTGAATGAGTCAGAACAATACATCAATTAAATCAGCTCCCATACTATTCTGTACCCAAGGCTGTAATTCACAAACTGTTCTATTTGCCACCTCAAATTTCCCATGAACTTGTTCAGCATTATCAGAAGCTCTAAAAAGATCAAATAACATAAACATACCGTAAAAATTAAGAGCCAAAAAGATGTCCTCGATTTTATTACAACACCTTCCCAATATGAATTTTCCAGCAAGAAGTGAAACATTCAGAGATCACATTATCTTGTTCTTCCAAATTATAGCCCAAAGTAATTAGTACCAACTTCATGTTAAAGTCCAAAATTATTAACGTCCAACATTGAACTCTCTTGCTCTTATGAATTAAAGTTCAAACAACAGGTTGTGTCACTGCCTGGCAGTGAACTTAGCTCCCAAACCTGGAGCTCCCCTTCCCTCAGAGGGCCTATCCTGTTAGCTTACCCCAAGTTCCTTGGCATGGGCAGGCCTGCCTTGGCACCGACAGAACTCTGTGAAACTCGTGGTATGAAGCAGCAGAGCAGAAAGCACACTTTCTGTGGGTGGCCTGGCTCCCATGAGAAATGAAAGAAGAAGAAGGTGGGCTGCACGTGCCAAACTTACACATCAGGAAACTTGCTGGTAGTGCTGCAATAAAGTATTGAGTGTTATGTTAGTGGCACCCCCTCCATACTTCAAGAAACATCTGATGTGGGAAAGAAGTGTTTTCCCCTAAAATAGAGAAATAAAACAGAATTACAAGAAACAGTCTCTCTTATTTAAGAAATATTGAGCTCAATTCCTAAGCTAGGTTTGCTGGGAGATTCACAAGTGAATCAGAGCTGGATGCTAACAACCAACCACTAACATTTATAACACAGTCATATGTCAATGCCATATATTTTAGAGTTTTGTTACAGCAGTGCCCTACTTCCAGCACCAATTTTTGTATTAGTATAGATTAGGCTTTATTTGCTACCAAACAACCCCAAATAACTCAGTGACTTAGAAAACAGAAATGTATTTCTTGGGGGGAAGGTATAGTTTAAATGGTAGTGCACATGCTTAGCATGCACAAGGTCCCGGGTTCAATCCCTAGTACCTCCTCCCAAAAAATAAAAATAAACCTAATTGCCTCCCACCCTGCCAAAATTAAATAATAATAAATAAATGAAATTTTTTTTTAAAAAAAGAAAGAAATGTATTTCTCACGCATACAAACGTGTGTTAACTGAGGTCTCTTTTCCACTTTGTCCTGATTCAAGGACCCCGACTGATGGAAGCAGCCACCATGTGAACTACTGTTGGGCTGGTAGATTAAAGAAGGCCACAAATTCTTTGTCACTCTTCTCCCCAGTCCCCATCAAGAGGTGGAGTTTACTTCCCTTCCCCATGAAACTGAGATGGTCCTCTGTCAGCTTTTACCAACAGAATATGTTATTTCCAGGCTTAAGGCTTATAAAGACCTGGAAGCGTTTGCTTTTGTGGTTTTCAGAGTCCTGAACCATCATGTAAGGTATCAGGCTACTCTGCAGAAGAAGCCAGGTGAAGTGATGCCCTGGGATAGCACTGGAAAAAGAAAGGCTCAGCCATCCTAGCATCCCAGTTGAGCCTCCAAATTACTCCAGCCCCATATAATACCTGCCTGGAATCATATGAGAGAACTCAAGCAAGAATAGACATCTGCCCATGAGCCCTTTCAACTCGTAAACCATTAGAGATAATAAAATGGTTAATGTTTAAAGTCATTAAGATTTGGGATGGTTTGTTATGCAGCAATAGATAACTAAAACATTCTGTCACTGTACCAAAAAGAAAGAGCATGAGAAATTGTACATGAGTTCTTACAGCTTTTGCTTCGAAGTGACACAGATCACTTCAATCACACTTCAGTGGCCATGCTGAGTTCGGAGGAATAGGAAAATGCAAGTCTACTATGTGTGCATGGGAAAAGAAATGGAAACATTTGTTAGTTAGTACTAATACCTCCCAGAGAAAGATCAGGTCTAGAGAGGTACATCTTCCATAGCAATGACAAGTCAATCGGGGAATAGTGGCTTAGGTTTGCTGGGGAAGGGAAGGCAGGAAAGCCACTTGTAGATATAGGGAGGCCTCTGAGTGCCAACTGAGTTTCTGAGATAGCTGAGCATCCCTGGGCATAAGTAACTGAGTAAAGGAAATCAGCATACAGGACAAGTCCCTTCATGTAGGAATGGAAGGGAAGGGAGGAAAGACAGAGCAAGTCACCAGTCAGAAAGTTACTGCAGTATTCAAAGCAAGAGTATCCTACTGGGAGAATTGGGGTCGGGGGGGGGGGGACCTCCCTCCTAGACCAGTTCAGAGGGCTTAGAATAAACATAAATTACTCAGAGGACTCAAAAAAAAAAAAAAGAAGGAGAAGGAGGAGGAGGGGAGGGGGAGGAGGAAGAAAGGAGAAGGAGAAGAAGAAAGAAGAAGGAGAAGAAGAGCTTCAAGTGTGAAGCTGAGATACTTATTTTATCAAGAGTATAAAAGAAAAGGTTTAATTCCCATGGCAGATAATGTTAGTTACCTACCCAACATTCCCCACCCTACTTCCTTGACAACAGAACTTCAATACTGCTCAATTCCTCTCTTCCCTCCAAACTAATCAGGAAAAAGAAAGCTACACACACATAATTCAGTTACAAGGTAAATCCTGATTGGTCTAAGCCAGTGGTTCTCAACCAGTCTCATCTCTCTAGGGAGTATGTGTTGGGTGGCGTGGAAGAGGGTTGGGTGTTTTGGTGTCACAATGCCTGGGGTTGCTACTGACATTTAGTAGGAAGGTACCAGAGATGCTAAATGTCCAGCAATGTACACCACAGTCCTGCATAAGTTTCCAAAAGCCAGATAAACACTTACCAATCCCGGTAGTCCCATGCTTCTTGTCAGTTACTGCTTTAGGGTCTAGCTCGCAACCTAGTTCTGGTAAGTAAGATATAAGGAGTGGACTGCTGTGAAGCCTCTGGTATGGCTTCTTCCTGCCTGTTGATGTTGTCCCAACCATATGACACCCAGGACTGCTACAGCCACCTTCTCCCTAAAACCAGTTTCTTCCCAACTCCCTGTTTACATAATTGGCATTTCCATTTCCTTTTACCATATCCTAAAGCAGTTTTCGACTTCTATTAACCACTAACCTTAACCTTAGGATGACCACTCATGAGATTTGCGTGGGACAATCTGATTTTACTCCTATTCTTCCTGTGTAATTAATCGTGACTCCTTTCACTTACAAAATTATGCCAGATTGGAGAAGGACAGACCATACATGGTCACTTACACCCAATTAAATATTGCTCACTCTGCCTTAAGATGCCTCTAAAGCAAGGGTCAGCAAACTATGGCCCGTAGGCTGTTTTTGTACCTCTGGAAAGAAAAAAAAAAAAAGTCTTTACATTTTTAAACAATTGAAAAAGTCAAAAGAATGATATTCCATGATACCTAAAATTATATTAAAATTTCAGTGTCCACAGTTTTACTGGAACACAGCCATACTCATTCCTTTAAGAATTGTCTATGGCTGCTTTCTCACTAGAAAGCAGAGTGAGTAATTATGACAAACAATGCCTAAAATATTAATGCTCGGCCCTTTAAAGAAAAGCTTACAGATGCCTACTCTAAAACCACCATCAGTTCAGTGTTCCTCACTTCCTGCACAAATATGGTAGCCTACTAATTGGTTTCCCATTCTTTTTTCCCAGTCCAATGCTTCACACACCTGGTAGATACTCCATCTAGTGAAGAGTTTTGATTCTCACTTGCCCCTTCGTATCTTCAATGGTTCCTTCAAAACCAGCAATATGAAGTCCAAGCCTATCCCTTGATAATGAAGACTACAACCTTGGTTTTCCAGAGTTTGCTCCTCTTCAGTACTTAAATCCCAAATGGATCATCTGCTGTTTCTCCAATAAGCATACCATACGTCCCCATTGCCTGCCCACGTCTCTCCTTCATCCCATCAGCTCAAGATTAAATGAAAACTGTCACTCCCTCGGTACACCTTCATTCACCACAAGGGTAGTTCACAGCGGTGAGGCGGGATGGGGGGGGGTGGTAATGGGGGAAACTCAGCGACACAAAGACAAGACTACGGCGGGAGAGAGCACGTCAAATGAGTTGAGTAAGTGAAGTGAGGGGCCCAGAATGAGGCTTCAGAACTGACATGTACCCTGGAATTTTCAGGACTCAAGAGGCTAGAAAATTCTAAAAGACCCAGGTAGACAAAAAGAAACTGTAAATAAAGCTAGATGAGCAAACAGAAGGACTACCATATCCTATGCACTTCTCTACCGCTCCAGAGATTACGATTTAAGAAATAATGACACCTTTAGTCAAAAACCTGAAAGAAAATTCTACAAGCCTTGGCCAAAACCACGGGGGAGTGGCTACTCGGTGTCAGCGCACACAGCACGTACATTCCCTTGGCCAAATAATCCTCGTGAGGGTTCCGAGCGCTCTCTCCTTGTCAGGCGACTCCAGCTAGTCGCCAAAACTTCTGGGCAGTTGCTTTGCCTGCCCGCCCACGCTCCAGGCTTCTGGGCAAGCGCGACGGCGCCCTGGGGGTTGAGAGAGAGACACCCCTTATCAGTTTGCGAAAGCAGTTAAAACCATGTCGCGGCCTCCCACTAAACTACCAGCCCGCGCCCTCCGAAAGGCGCTAGGGCAGACCCCGCCTCAGCAGCCGCCTCCGCGCACGCCAAGCTCTCGGGCGGAGAGAGAGCGAAGAGGCGGGAGTTCGCGGACGCAAACCCAAACCTGGGAAGGGAAGCGATTCCTGGGCGCACGCGCACAGCGAGGGGACTGGGCGGAGCGTGCCTCCCAGTAAGGTTGCAGAGGAAAGGCGAGCGCGTGGCGCCCGAAACCCGCGCACGCGCCGTAGTCTCGCCCCGCCCATGCGCGCGCGCGGCCGGCGCAGCTTTTTTTCTTCAGGCCCGCCCCTCTCTTTTGCTTCAACTAGAGGAGGTGACTGGAGAAAGCAGAGACATGTGGGTCGAGGTGGGCGGGGCGTCGCACGCGAGCGCGGCCTGCAAAAGGAGGGAGGGGAAGGGAGAGATCCAAGACTACGTTACCCCGTCAACACCCAATCGGGAGCCTGCCTGACCCCACCCCCTACCCTCACGTTATTGGCTGGGAGGGCCCATATGGGCGGGGCCAGTCGTGGGGTTGGGGAGGGCAGGGGGCGGGGAGGAGGAGGAAGGCGCTGGCGGGCAGTGATGGCGGCGGGTGATGGGGACGTGAAGCTAGGCACCCTAGGGAGTGGCAGCGAGAGCAGCAGCGACGGTAGCAGCGACAGCCCCGGCAGCGCGGGAGCAGCAGCAGAAGGGGGTGGCTGGGCGGCAGCGGCGTTGGCGCTTCTGACGGGGGGCGGGGAGATGCTGCTGAACGTGGCGCTTGTGGCGCTGGTGCTGCTGGGGGCCTACCGGCTGTGGGTGCGCTGGGGGCGGCGAGGTCTGGGCGCTGGGGCCGGGGCGGGCGAGGAGAGCCCTGCCGCCACTCTGCCTCGTATGAAGAAGCGGGACTTCAGCTTGGAGCAGCTGCGCCAGTACGACGGGTCTCGCAACCCGCGCATCCTGCTCGCGGTCAATGGGAAAGTCTTCGACGTGACCAAAGGCAGCAAGTTCTACGGCCCGGGTGAGGAGTTGGAAGGGGAGGGGGAGGACCCCCTGCAGCTCAAGAGCATCCCCCTTCTGATGGGGAGGCGCCTGGGCACCGGGTTAGTTTGCCAGCCTTCTCGACGTCTGGACCCCCGCGCCTAGTCTGCGGCATCTGAAACGGCCCGCCCCCCACACACACCCGAGCTCGGGCACCTACGGCGTTTCCCCCCAAAGTCGGATCCCAATGTTGCCCCAGGAACCAGCTCTCAGCTTTCATCTTTCCCCCATCCCATTTCTCCTCGCAGCCTTTTCCTGTGCTGAGTTTTTCAAAATCCTTTTAGTTGTCGCCTCAGCCTTTCCTGGGCTTTTTGATTCCTGGGATGGTTGGGGGCAGAAGGGAGGCAAGATTTCTAAAGTAGGGACCTAAAGTTTTAGGCCCTGTAATTCACAGCTTTCCTTTCTTTACTATTCTTTTGCCGTTGATCTCCCTTTTCCGTCTACTACTGCCCATAAGGCCACGTTTAAGTATACGTAGTTCCAGGTCCCAACCCTCTAATCTGTGAAGTCCGGGCATATAAGCAACACCTCTAGAGTCTTCTTTTTTTTTTTTTTTAAACCAGTTTTGGTATGGAGAGATGCTTTCCAAGACTAACAGTGTATGTGGGATGACACAGACCAGAATGCAGATTCCTAATAACTGCTGGCAAGGTTATTCGCCCTGAGTTTTGGTTTTGGGGGTGGAGCTCATATACCCAGGAGGCGTGCCAATCTGGTTTCTTTCTATATCCTTTTTGTGTGTGTGTGTGTGTGGTAGGGAGACACACATCCAAATCCACGTTGATTATGACTTAATTGTGTTTTCACTGAGGAGAAAAAAAACTTTCAAAAAGCTATGAATTCCTATTCCCATGCACCAGTTCTGCAAATTTAATGATTTTTAGAACTTTGCTTTCATAGAACTGTTTATGTAGGGCACTTGGTTTAGAAACTTCTTTTACGATGTAGTTGGAGCATACATTTCAGATTATGCTGATAAACTTCAGTTCAGACTCAAGGAACCTGTTGTACCATAAAATTGAGCAACATTGTACATGCTGGTTTTGTAGTTATTCTAAGCTTTAGAAAAAAGTGACTACAATAAAAAGTAAACAACAAAATTAGAAACCTAGAGTGACCTGTTAATTTGAAAGAGTACATCCAAGCCTTAATTCCGGGGGATTGGCAAGTCTAAAAACAAGTTGGTTTCCTCGTTGATTTAATCTGTTAGTGAGATGTATTGACACTTGAAAATATATACTTCTGATTTTTGTGGTTAGATATGTTAGAAGTGCTGGAAGATATTTTTTGGTTTGTTCTTTCTTAATAGGAATAGAGAGAAGAAATTGGAGATTCTACATGTTGAACTATATATGTCTTAGTTGCTTGTATTTTATGTGTATATCTGCATTCAGTCCAACCAAGTCATTTGCTTCTGGTTATATAAATATGAAAACCAGATGTCTCCCTACTCATATCAGCTGAAATGGTTAACATACTTTTTTGTTTGTTTGTTTACTTAAGAGCGTGTGGGATAACGTGGTAGGGCCAAAGTACAAAATTTAAACGGACAGACCAAGTAGTTAATTTTTTTTAGTCAAGGATTTATACAGTATGTGTATTCAATGATTAGGAATTGTGTACAGATTGAGATTTTTAACGTAGAGTTTAACCAACTAGAAGATGTGCTTTTGTAGCCCCTATCTGAACTGACAGTGAAGCAACCGAAGTATTAGTGCAAAGAAGCATATGAGTCTTCATAGATAATGCCTTGCCACTATCTGAAAATAGCTAGGAAGAAACAGTCATAGACAGTTTGGCAGCATCCAGTGGCAAATGTTCTGCAACAGAAATTTTAAAATTAAGATAAGAGTCATAGTTATAATTTAGATAGCCTTTGTGTGGCTTGAGCCAGTTAGCGCCCTCCCCCCAGATAACAACAGAGAAGCTAGTTTAGGTTAGCTTCCACTGACTCCGAGGTCCTCATGAGCAGGCTAAGAGTGATATTCAGTTATTTCATTCTAAGTACTTCTTGATTAACAACCTAATAGAGATATCTGGAGTGTTTTATTATTGAAAGGTACCTTAAAGTTAACCAGATCATCTTATGGGCTTGAATATGTTGATATTTCACATCAATAGACGATATAACACTTTTCCAAAAGTCCTGAAGCCAAATTTCTGGCTACAAAACGGACTTGAGTTTTGATCTTAATTTTCATTTCTGTCCTCAAATCAATCAAGCAGTTTTGTAGCAGAATAATTCAGAAGCAATAATCCTTATCTGAGACTCTTCGTAACTTAAGAATGAGCAAAGGAAACCAGAAAACCTAGTTTCAATGCCTAGCCAGTATCTACTCTCATTTCTCAATAATGGTTTTAGCATTAAAAGATTGTTTTGTGAGGCTTTTTTGACGTTGACGATATTGTTCTTGTTAAGCATACATTTTTAAAGTTCCAGTTCTTAAAAAATTAAATAATAACAGTTTAATTTAGTGGAGAGAATACATAATGGCAAACAGTTGGCATTAACTACATTTGTCGATATTAAATTTAGTAACAGTTCAGGCACTTGGCCAGGAGAATGGTCATGTAAGGAACAATGAAGATGGAAGGAGAAAAGAAACCAGATTTCTTAAGCACTTACCACATCAGATCCATTGATTTGTCATTTCCACAATGCTTCAGTGAAGTTAGTAAATAATCCTGTCCTTCAGATGGGGAGTCTGAGGTTTAGGAATTTGGAGTAAATTGGCTTGGGTCACATAGACATGGCATTCAAATCCAGATATATTTGAGAACAAGTCCTATCAACTCTATTTTAGGTAAATTGCATTCTGGGATAAACTCGTAGAGAATCTCACTAGTGTTATTTTGTATGACCTCTCCTGGTTCTCATAAAGATTTAAAGCCTCAAAGAAACACACTTTAATAACTTTATATTGTGCTGTTTGATATGGTAGCCACAAGCCAGGGGTAGCTGTTTAAACTTAAATTAATGAAAAGTAAATGTAATTGAATATTGAGTTCCCCACACTAGCCACATTTCAAGAGCTCAGTAGCCACATGGCTACCATATTAGACAGTGCACTTAATAGAGTAGCTCCATCTTCCCAGAGAGTTGTATTCAACAGCATTGATTTCTAGAGGTCAAGGTAGAAGAAGGACACTCCATTTTGAGTTTATTATCTTACTTAATCTTCAAACAGCCCTAGGAGATAAGTAATGTTTCCATTTTACACATGTGGAAACTAAAACTCAGATTTTTCCCAAAGTCACATATCTAAGTGGCAAAGCTAGAAATCAAACCCACTCTTAACTGGCTTCACAGGCTGTCCCCTCTCACTGTGTCACAATATAATACAATTTCACATTTCCAGAGTTGTAATAGATGAGGAAGACTCCAACAGATGGTTTAATTTTAAATGATTTGATGTAATATTATTGCAATGGAACTCTACCAAAACAGTGTTTTTTAATATATTATTAAAATACATATTTAATATATTTAAAATGGCAAGAAATGATACAATCCACCTTTGTAATAGTCTATCCACATTTACATATTTTGATATATAGCTTTCCCTTCATCCTGTGTATTCTTTGACACATACCAACTCTATATTTTCTCCAACATAACCTTGTAAATTGCACTGGAAAGAAAAAATATGTAAGAAGTACCCCCATGAGATGCTTAATGTTTAGGAGGTAGGGGAAAGGAGCACATATACCTTTCATGTGTTTTTCCTCCTTTTTTAACTTTATGTTCAATATGTTAACTTTTGTTTAAAGTTTGCAAAATGCAGCTGAGACAAGAGTTGCAACATATAGACAAACCTGTTCTTTCCTGAATGTCCTGTTAACACTAGCCTCTCATCCTAGTTTCTTGCTTTGAAGCCAGCTGGGTTTGTTGTTAGGGCAATTGCTCATACACATTCATTACCTACCAGTCAGATAAAGGGATGAGCTAAGTTTTCTAATGAATTTTGATACTCTGCCCAAATTTATACTAGTTATTTCTACAGTACCTACTTGGTTAGCTCCTCTGAATTTAATACCATTTCATTTTTTGTAATCTATGAGAGATTTTGTATTAAATACTAACACAGAGTATAAGAG